GACGTTCACAACGCGTTTCTCCATGGAGATCTTCAAGAAGAAGTTTACTTGAAGTTACCGTTCGGGTTCCAAGTTTCGGCTCCCGGCAAGGTTTGTAGGTTACACAAGTCTCTTTATGGGCTTAAACAGGCCCCTCGCTGCTGGTTCGCCAAACTTTCAGCTACGTTGAAGGTTTTTGGATTTCAACAGTCCTACTCTGAATATTCTCTCTTCTCCATGAGGAAATGCGACATTCATCTTAGTGTTATTGTATATGTTGACGATCTTATTATTGCAGGCAATGATAGCTCAGCTATCCGACAGTTTAAAGTTTATTTGAGTGACTATTTTCACATGAAAGATTTAGGAGTCTTGAAGTATTTCCTTGGAGTTGAAGTTGCACGGAGCCCAGAAGGTTTTTTTCTCTGTTAAAGAAAATATGCACTGGATATTATTGCTGAGGCGGGTTTGTTGGGGGCTAAACCCGCACGTCTTCCTATGGAACAAAATCATTGTTTGGCTCTGTCTACTAGCGACCTTCTTGCTGATCCAGAACCTTATCGTCGCTTGGTAGGGCGCCTGATTTATTTGTGCTTCACATGGCCAGAGTTGTCGTACAGTGTTCATATTTTGTCTCAATTCATGCAACAACCAAGGGAGGATCATTGGCAAGCTGCGCTGCGGGTTGTCCGTTATTTGAAACAGAACCCTGGACAAGGCATTTTGCTAAGTAGTGCCTGTGACTTACGCTTACATGCATGGTGTGATGCAGACTGGGCCGGTTGCCCAATGACCAGAAGATCACTGACAGGTTGGGTGATATTTCTAGGTGTGTCTCCTATTTCCTGGAAGACGAAAAAGCAACATACTGTGTCTCGCTCTTCTGCTGAAGCTGAGTATCGTTCAATGGCCATGACTACTTGTGAGTTGAAATGGCTAAAGGGCGTTTTATCGAGTCTTGGCGTGTCCCATGTTACATCCATGTCACTGCATTGCGATAATCAAGCCGCTTTACATATATCTCAAAACCCGGTTTTTCATGAACGGACCAAACACATTGAAGTAGATTGTCACTTTGTCCGCGATGCAATTGTCAAATGAGATATTCATTCCTGTTTTGTTCCGACTAATGCGCAACTAGCGGATATTTTTACCAAGGCTTTGGGACAACAACAATTTTCATTCTTACTTCGCAAGTTGGGCATTCGTGATCTCCATGCTCCAACTTGAGGGGGGGGTATTGTGAGTTATTATTGTATATATTCTGTTTTGGTAGCTAATATTCTGTTTGGTAGCTAATATTCTGTTTTAGGTAGCTGATATTCTGTGCGATATCGTTTGATTGTTTCTAGCTGATTTTTAGGAGGTTGTTTAGGAAGGATTGTGTATATAAATTATACGGGTTAATGAATGAAGGCAGAAGAGGTTTTCTCTCCCAAAATTCCACCAAAATACCTGAATTTGTTAGAGGAGCATGATAGCAAAGAAAATCGCTTGCTATCATGCGCCTAACCGACCGTGCTATGCTTGCTCAGGTTCTCCACAAGTTTTGTTATCTCATATATACATGTTGAGATTCTTGTTGTACATACAACTTACATATTTGGAGACGAATAAAATATTTTAATTACCAAAAAAAAAACTATTGCCAAACGGATCTGCAGAAAATTAGTTTGACAAATCAATAAAAAAGTATCCGCGGAGATATTGTTTGTTCAAGAATGGATGGACGGGAAATGCCTCTTGCATTTTTCTGTAATTTTCTCATAGAGGATGATGTTCATCGCTTTTCTTCCTGCAGTAAGGTTGTATTTCACTGATAAGATGAGAGGCTTCTTATTGCGATAATCACTTTGCAAACAGTAGCATGAAATTGCTATAGGAGGTTTTTGTGCGATCAGTTCGCTGGTGCACCTGGAGTGCACGAAACGATAGTATTTTTCAATTGCAAGGCCATTAACTCTTCCAAAATAAAAGCAAATGTATTACACTTCTTGCACTTTTGGGCAAAGTCAATGCAGCCACGTTAATAGATCAGGCTCCACCGTTACCTGATACTATGGAGGGAGATGATGCGCCTAATTCTAGGCCCTATTGGCGAATATGGTGTCTGCACTTCTTTTCCTTTATTGATTGTAATGGAGTTAACGCCTAATACTCATGTTTTTTTCTCTTTGTTCTCTTGAGTTTAATTATAGGTGGTTTTGGTGTTTGTGTTTTGGGGTTGCAAGTTTTTTGAATTGGAGCGTCTGAAACGCATCCTCTTGAACGTCTTCGTTGATTCTGCATCAATTTCCTCCCTCACATTGGTCTTCTAATAGCGCTCTTCTTATATATAAGAATACAATATATACTAAATATAATATATAAATATAAATAATATATATATTATTACTACCTATAATTATTTGCAAAGCGTGCTCTTTGACAAATTTTAGGAGCGTCTGATATGCATAACAACATCAAATTGAACGTCCCTTCAGATATACCTTTTGCTCCATTTCCTCTCCACCACCTTGTTCTTTGTCTGAATATATAATACTTAAATAGTAAATATATACTATATATATCATATAACTATAAATATATGCAGCAAATGAAGAACCATTCGGTACCAAATTGTTAAAAGCAACTTCGATAGTGAACATGTAGAAGACCTAATCGTTTGCTACCTTACCATCAACCTCGCAAAGACTAGAACAGCCAAACTTAGGTACAGACTCTGCAATACCAATATACATATAGATTCACGGACAAGATCTAGCGTCACATACACTACCAACGTCGCACATTAGAGCACATAGTCCAAGTATTCTCCAATTACTCTCCTCTCTCTCTCTCATACACAATATAATATATATATATATATAATAATATAACCTATATACTATATATACATAATATATAATTACAATACTAAATATATATATAACTAATATATATATATAATATATATATATATATCATTTATATGACATCTTGCCCAATATATTTACCATCTTAAACAAAAATTGAAGCGATCACAAATGCCTAAATGTTCTAAAACTCTCCTTGGACATCATAGCGGAGATTGATGCTTTAGAGATTATTCAAGAGCTTAATAGCCATATACTACATCTAATGCTACATGGTACTAAAATTGATGGGATTAATGAGCAGAGCACACGATTTCGAAGCTGTATTTTCAAGCATATTAGGAGGTAAGGAAATTGTGCAGCACATCGTATTGTTTTTACAAGTAAATAAATTGATAATCATCAAAATAAATAAATTGCTTACGTACTTTTTATTAGATTTTTACAAGTAAACTGCACCTTTCAAACTACTTTTACATACTATGCGCATGGTGGTGTGCAGTCCTTCCGCTTGGATTATATCAAAATTGATAATCATCAAGGACCTTACAATCTTCAGGTGTATTAGTTTAAAACTATCTTGAAAAGTGTAAATCTTCTGGTGTATAAGTTTAAAACTAGCTAAGGGACACCCCCAACGCAAGAACCTCAGTTATTTTACATAATTAAATTCATGTTGATGCTCTTCAGGAGAGTCGAACCAGAGACACTGGTGTACTGCTGGTACGCAACTTAACAACTTAGCTAGATCCTCTTTAGAGTTTTTGCTCAATTAATTCCCGTTTAGAGCAGGTCAAAACTGTGATAAGTTATAGTTACATTTTGGCTTGTTGTATTTAGGGTAAATGTCAAAAAATACCCTAATTTTGGTCATTCCAGGTTTTGCCAACAATGAGATTGCCTCCCAAATTTCAAAAAGGTCAGTTACACATCTTAATTTTTGTCAGATAACATCACAACTAGCACTGTTAGACCTAGCTAGCGTATGAAATTCATATGCGTCCAAATGACCGAAAAGCTCCTGATGCTAATAGCTCTTTTCATATTTTTAAAATAATTTTAAAGTTAATTTTCAGAAAGCTAATTTTTATAACTGGTCTAATAATTTATGTGATTAATTTAATTAATAATTAGATATTAATTTTATAAAGAAGCCGTGGCCTTTATACTAGTTCATCTAAAACGGTTAGGGTGCTTGGTTAATAAAATTGAAAAGATTTTAGAAGTTTTCTAAAAGGACAAAATTTTAAAATAGACTCTATTAGAATTTTATTTGTAAAAATCGACCATTTTGAGATTTTATTACCATCTTCGTTCAGTTTCAGCCATTTGAGTCGAAAACGGTAAATAAATCTCAAAAACTTCACGGGATTTAGAATCCCATGATGTTTTATTTACTATTTTTGGCCCAATTTTAGCTAGTAGGCAGAACCAGGTCAATAATGGTGAATAAATTGCAAATAGGATGATTTTTACAAATAAAGTTCTAAAATGGTATATTTTGAAAATTTGTCCTTTCTAAAACACTCTAAACTTGACAGGTTGATGATCAAGACTAAGATAAGTAAAACAAGAAAGAAGCCATGGAAAAATATTGTGAAAGGAAAGAACACAATTAACCAAAAAGGAACCAAAGATAAGTAAAACCATGACCGTCCTTCCCCCTCAAGAGAAATAGAAAATTTATATAAACACATGTTGAGAGAGAGAGAGAGAGAGAGAGGATGATGTTCCATGAGAAAAATTTAGCAAGACTAAGATGAAATGCAATATTCTAAGAATGAAGAGATTATCCAATATATTAACCAAACTCAAAGAGTTTCTATGAGGGCAAATATGCAAAGAGAAAAATCAGTCGCCTGAGCTACTAATTAATTACGAAATTAATAAAATAGCTACAGATTGTCCATATTTATTTTCAAACATATTTGATAAAGGTTGATGAGACCTTTAAATTTGCATTTGGGTTTTACGCTCGGGGTGAAAAGGAAAAGAGAAGACAAAAATTCAAACAAAATATAGCTTGCTGCCTGCTGGCTTCCTATCGGGTAAGGTAAAGAATAAAAAAGGAGAAATAATTTTCTCAAAAAAAAAATTTTTTTTGGAATTTAGGAAGAGAAATCATAAATTTGACATAAAACTATAACATTAAGAGAGGTCTAGCAACTCAATACTCACATCATGTCACACCTATATTTTTTACCCTATGCATTTCTAGTTCACATTAAACTAGATAGAAGATCCATTTACAAGAGATCATGGCTTACATTGTTATGTTTCCTTCCCAACCTGACTAATTGCGACCAAATATGGAATGGAAAAAATATAAAGAAAGTACCTATTACTCCAATTTACTTCACCTTCTCCGAGTGAGATGCATCACAATGTTGCTCAATCTCTGACGAGGGCTCTTCCTCCTCATCGAAACAATCAATGCCATAAGCGGCATGTCCTTGGCCAAAGGCCTTAATATGGTCTTTAAGTGATCTTTTGTGCTTGAAATCAGAGCCACAGATACAATACCAAAGCTTACCACAGTTCTTCTCATGAGTTCTCCAGTCTCCTCGCACTGCAAAGGCCTTTCCACATTTTCTACACATGAAGGGTTTGATCCCATGCTTTCGTTTGTAGTGAGTTTGGAGTGTTCTGAAGTCCTTCAATGGCTTTGCTCTTGGATGATCTATGTTGTTCCGGCACCCTGGAGCACAGCAGTAGCACGGCAGTCGCAGCATCGCTGTAGGTTGGATGCCTCGGAGAGATTCAGGGCCCTTTCTATATTGTGATCCATGCCCCCACATATGCATCTGTGGATCATATATATATAATTACATAATTAGTTAGAGGGGAAAAACCCATACATTTAATATCTTAAACATGAAGAACCTGTAGTTGTATTGTCTAGGTTTGGTGAATGTCAAGAAAATTGAGCATTGATTATGACTTTATCATAATAGAAGGCATTTGATTCATTAACAAAAATGCAAATACTTGTCATATTAGAGTTAGTGAGAGTGTTGTTAGGGCATTTGTATTGCATCAGTCAAGATGATATGCATGTACATGGACAAGAAAAAGTAATATTAACTGGACAAGTAGGAATTTTGAGGGAAACGAGTACTTCTTTATGAAGTTTAGCTTGTGTGTGCGTGTATATATATTAAGAAACAAGTTGTATTTTCTGTGGTGTAACAAGAAAGATAATTCAACTAGGGGGGCCCTAAAGGTTTACCAATTACTGGTGATAAATTAGCCTGGTAAGTCAAAACCATGGGGAAAAAAGAGACGTGGATATTAAAGAAGCATGGAAGAAAGTCCGCTGCACACACACACAGCGAGAGAGAGAGAGAGAGAGAGAGAGAGAGAGAGAGAGAGAGAGAGAGAGAGAGAGAGCGCTCATAGTCGTTTTTTGGAGAAGCAACTCACTTGTCAGCGTTCATATGGACTGGTGGCTTTTGGGTCAGCAGTACAGTGAGTGCAGAAGATTTTGAAAGACTTCTTTTAAATTTTTTTTTCTTTCTTTTATTAAAGACCATCTCAGCACCACCCCTGAAAAAAGACTGAGAAATACTTTACAGTCGCATTCCTCACATCAGCCAATGTATCACAATAAAAACCCCAAACTCTCAGAGTACTAGAAAGTATACATATTGAACACCGCCTATATATGTCCAGTTCTTTTCTTCGATCGCATAAAAAGAAGAGGTGTTCCTTCTAATCTCATTAGACCTAGATAAGCTACGTATCTATGCTAATTATTTATTGTAGGAAATTCTTGGTACCCATTCACCATCCAAAAGGAACGATAATTATATATCCTTAACACTGTCCCCTATGTATGAACTCCTCCTTGCAGGCTTACGCTAAATTTAACTATCAAGAACCACAATTAAGAAAAGAAAAGGGAAGTGAAAATTGAGGGAATTAATGAAAATTTGGATAGAAGCAATTCCTTTGATGTAAGTAATTAACCTGCATGTTGTTGTATCTATTGAAGGTCTTGCAGCAAACAGGACATGAGAATTGAGTAGGACCTATGAGGATCTGTGAAGGGGTAGGGATCCAGTACTGCCCTTTGTTTAGTCTCCCTATAGGACCTGTAGGATACACTAAAGGAGCAACATCACCTTCTTTGTCTCCTTGATCTCCATCTTCTTCTTCCTCTTGGTTGTTGGAAGAGACCCTGGAGATGAGATCTGATGCGCTAGGGCTCGGGAGTCCTATATGGAGAGCAACTGTGACTTCTTCAACCTCATCGTCCGCATGAGAATGATTATCACCGCATAAGCCCATCTTGTTCACTTCTTCACCAGAAGGCCTTGATGAGTTTGGTTCAAGATGATCTTCTTCTTGACGCCTTGTTGCGCTAAAGCTATTAAGGAGAGGGAGGGCTTCCCTTAGAGGAGGAGAAGGCGGTGGTGCTTGAAAGTGGTGAGAGTTACTGCAGTTGTAGTTGTAGTTGTAGTTGTAAGCGGGGATAGCTAGCGGAGGAGGAGGAAGGGTATTAGAGGAGAAATTAGGGTTGTAATTGAAGAGATCCTTAAAGAAATTGTTGTAAGGGTCTCCCATGGTTAGAGGTGAGTGAGAGGAAAGAAATTGTTGTGGACTACCGTTTATAGGAGAGGATGATCTCAAAATTAAACTACCAAGAAAAACAAAGAAAACCCAGAAGTTCAGTTAAAAGCATGTAAATTATTCACCAAATTAAGAATGGTAGAGAGAGAGAGAGAGAGAGAGATCTCTGAGGGAGACAAAGATAGAGGAAGGGAAAGTTAACTAGTAGAGGAAAAGGTAGACGATAGGAAAATAGAGATCACTCAACACTGGAATAAATAAAGGGAGTTGAAAGAACTAAGTAAATTAACACTCACACCAACCAACACTGAGGAATATAGAAAGAAGTTTAGAAAGGAAAATTTACCCAAAGACAAATGTCAGGGACTAGTGTTGGATGATGTCTCCCACTCATAATAAAATGAGTGAGTAAAATATTATAATATGCCATGCTATATATATATGTAGGTATTAATTAAAACATATTTCAGAGGGAGAAAGTATGTGTGTGTCTTTGTCTACAAGAGAGAGAGTATCAATTCTTAGTTTGTTTCTTCTTTTTAAATTGTTAGACATCCAGCTCACCTTTCCTTGTTGCTTCTCTACCCCTCTCTGCTTGTATGCATGGGATATCTACGTCCATTATTAAACCATAACCCATTCTGTGTAGAATTCGAATATATTACACTATTAATTCATTTTCTTCAGCTTGCTCATCATTGCTGAGTTCGGTCAGTATCTGAATATTTTATCAATATTTAAGTAATTTGTCTTTACTAAATAAATTTTGTTACCATGAAAGGTTATCTTTCCTTTATGTATAATGAGACATTAGTGGTGCTTTTAGACTTGCTTTGGTAGGAGGGAAAATGAGGTGTGAGACAAAAATTAGATTTCTCTTTGAC